ATTGCATAACCCGCATATTGAAGGGGCAACATGCAATACTTTCTTTTTACAGCGTTGCCATATTGAACAATAATCCCTATACAACGCTGTAATTTAATTCATATTTTTCTGCACAATTTGGCTAAAAACTTTTGGCCTCAAGTCGGCATTTTCACCCTACTAAGTCCCTCGTTTATATTTAAAAAGTATCTACCAGGATTATTCACAATTCCACACATCATGTTATAGAATTATTCGCACGAATCCAGTTTTAATCCACTTCTCAAAACGTAACTAACACAAAAAGTTCCTCGTTTTCTATTTAAAGTGTATCTACTAGGATCATTCACAATTCCACACATAACGTTATAGAATTACACGCACGAATTATGATTCGCTCTTAAAATTAGTGGTGAACGAGTCTATCTAATCAACGCACACGTTCTGATGAATCATCTCCTGAAAAATCAATGTAAGTGCTTACTTGAAAATGTTTAAAAATAAAAACTAAATAGCCTCCAAGCGACTTTCAGTTTTGGATCACCTAACAATGTGCGCGTCGCTGTACACTGATTGAAATTCTTAAAAGAATTGAAGTAAGATTGAAGCCTTGTGTTAAGTAATTGATCAATTATTAATTTAAAAAACCCATAATGAAACGATGTTAAAATTGTTCTTTGATTGTGAGCGGTGGACAAAAATATAATAAAATGAAGGTATTAAGATTCTACGCCGCATTTGTTTACTGGACTGGAACATATAGTTTGGCGGCATCGTCGGATGTACTCAATCCGATTCCTGAATTTGAGCAGAGTTGGCTTCTGAAAGAGCGGATAGTTCCGGATTTGGTATCAGTCATTCCAAGGCATTCCCTAATAGTAAGTTCTTTACTCGCGTAATCAAGTAATATTTGTATAATTGGGTAAAATGAGCAGTGAGTCAGTCTTTTTTACATGGATACTTGAAGGAAAATCTCAATACAGAGGGAAAAAGCTCATATGAGCACAATTTTCCCTCCAAGAGATTTGCTGTTTGGTGCAGCACTGTGCTCATATGAGCTTCTTCCTTCTCTATTGAAATTTTCAGTTTTATGCTGAAATTTTAACGCACGTTGGCAAAAAACTCCAACAAAAACTAAATTACAACCCGCAAGTCCACCGCAATCAGTTTGGGTACTTTCTTTTCTCTCTATCTCTCCAAAGTTTCTTGTGGATGGGCTCATTTGTTTAAAACCCGAAAAGAAAATATGCTGCTCAAAAAACAATCTATGGGAGCACATCTAGCGAGGGACAATTTTTTTATTTCCTTTTTTTTTTTTTTTAAATTGACATCAAGGATGTTTTCATGATGGTTTTGTGGCTATTTCTCCAATAAAAGAAGAACTTTCTTACGTAAAGAAGAACGAACTGCTAAAAATATTGGAATTTAAGAACAATTTGTCGTATCATTAATTAAATCTGTTTCTCAGGTAACATATGAGAAAGCAATTGTGCATTTTGGGAATTTGATGGATAAATTTGATATTTTAGACGCCCCCATTCATGTAGCCTGGCCATCGAAGAATAACACTTTTTATACTCTGATTGCAACTGGTAATGAGGATGTTTATACAAATAACCTGATAATCGTATGTATTTGAATATCCATGCAGTAAGCATCCGTAGTTATGTGATCAAGGAGGCAAAGGAAGTGAAGGACAATGCAAATTCACCCTCATTACTTCAAAAAATAAAAAAATTAATGCAATTGAATGAACAGGAGAATACATTTAAAAATGAATATGTGATAAAACTTGAAATGAAAGCGGAATGACTATTATTATGCATGACATAACAAGAATTACACTGAAATATTGATCCGTATAAAGACCCATTATTTGAACATTATTGTTTGGACTTACTTCAGTTTTAAAATATTGAAAATGAGCATTGTTACATGATGAAAACTCGGTGTTTGATTTTCTTTGTATACGAACGTCTATCTTTCTAGTATGATTTCAATTACCCCGACGAATTCAAGCTTAGTTTTACTCACTAACTTAACCTGGTTTAAACTTTACATTGCCACTTGTAATTAGAAACATGGTTAAATTATATCTTTCACCTTTCAACCTAGGATCAGATCCCCCAAAAAAGTTAGCAACAGTTACTCCAGAATACCTTCACTGGGTTCTTGGAAATATACCCGGGAAGGAGTGGCGAAAGGGTGAAAATATAAAGAAATATCAAGGATTGCTGACTGGATTTCATTTTGGTTAGTATTTTTCATTTTAATTTTTGAAATCAATCGTTAGAAAATAAATTAAATAGGTTAAAATGTCACCGGAATCATCATGAAAGGAAGCATACCCTTGAAATATCTAATTCTGGTGATTAAAATACATTTTGCATAATAATCTCAATAGCATTACCCTAACTTTTTCTGACCGCAATCAAAGGTTTGTTTTGTGACTACAAATTCGGCTCTAGTTAAATGAATTCATACGTAGATAGGAACTGCGTTGAAACTTCATCTTCATTTCATGGGGGATTTTTCAATGTAATTTCCTGTCTGCAAATAAGCAATAACAAAAAACAACAAGTTGGTTTTTGCAATCGCTAGCGATAGCAATATTCGTCATGGGAACTTTTGCTTCTGGGATATGAAAATGTTAAGGTACAGTTCGTTTGTAGTATCTTCAGAATTGAAGGGGCTATGTAATTTTGTGTCGACATCTCTTTTTTAACATTTTTAATTTTTTTTCTTTGCATACAAGAAAGCTGTTATTTACCAATTATTTATTTTCGTTGGATTATGTATGGTTTTCGAAAGTTAACGCATTTAACTTTCAGTTTCGTTTTTTCGGCGTAAAGTATGATATTTTTACTCTACGCATATGCCCGAATACGCATCATAAGTGACCTATGTGCTTCCTAAGTTTCCATTTTTTTTCATTCAAATAGATGTAACTGAAATGTTAGATGTGTACTACCTATACTACTTTCATGTCATGGCTTTATTTATTTATTTATTTACTTTTTGCGTAGGTATAAATTGTTATTTTTGCTAAATTTTGGAGAAAATATTGCTTTAAGAACGTGGAATGTAAATTAATTTTATTGAAAAAAGAAAATACCATCATTAATTTGGGCGAACAGAGAAAATATACATCAATATTTGGGTCAACATCTCCCTGATTATATAAAGGATGAATATATTAGTATTTCTGTATCAAAAAACTTAGCTTTTGTCTTCAGAGATACAATGATTCTAGTCCCAGTCAATTTGTTTTATTGAAAAAACAAAAAAACAAAAAATAAATTAAAATAAAAACAACTGAAATGTTAGACATACTATTTTCATGTCTTTCTATTTGTATCAATAGGTACTTTTTGCTTAACTTACGAACGTTGAATGCAAATTAACTTTATTGAAAAAAGAAAATAACGTCATTAATTTGGGTGAACATGTGGCTGATTATATGAAGGAGGTATATTCCAGTATTTATGTTTAACATATTAACTCACGAGAAAATGTTCGCACATTTATCATCTAGTATTAAGTATTTTTTGATGATTAGTCTAAAACATTCAATACAACCATTAAAATCTAACTTTCCCACCGTCGGGTATCGAACTCCCGATTGCCTATTGCCCGCTCCTTTTCATAAAAATGTGGCGACTTAGTCAACCAGGCTATCATGGCTCCGCGGTCGAGAGTGTAAAAATAGCATACAAAAAACTCTGACGGTGGGCGGGGCTTATCACAAGAGTTGTTTTTGACGCTTTGTAGCTCCTGCCATATGAAAGAAATGAGCTAAGCGCCTTTCTCTGTGAGACATTGTTTACCTATGCTATCATGTGTCTCGAGGTTCATCCCAGCATGCATTCCGATCGCGGCAGTAAGCTGAGGCAATATTTCTGTATTCATGGATTAAATCAATCAATCGAGTTCTGATTTTGGCTCATATATCCGTAACGAGTCCTCCAGAACAATTTTCCACCTTGTACGATGGTTATTATTTCTTTACTTCTATTTTTCAAATTTGAGGTGGGATAATGGCGGCTTCACAAGAGCACCGAGGTAGGCGATCTTTTGCACCAACGAACAGAAAACTGATGGCGAAAAATAACCAATCAGAACCTCCCAAAAAAAAGAATTTGCCCAAAATCGGAACTTCGTGGTTCTGCGCAGATTTACCAGTCAGACACGACATCTCAAGGTGGAAAAAAACTCGCTGAAAGCGAATTTTAGAAATCAACACAACTTGACGTAGAGACATGATTGCTTAAAAAATACAACGGTTTTTGATACATCGGAAAATCAACCAAAAATCGGGGACTGGGCGAAACGCTCAAGGTCGCAGAGGCATAGGGAATCCCATAGCGATAGCAACGGAACGATTGTAATATCATGGGGAACTCCGTTCCCATGACAAAAAAACATAGCAAACTTGCTTATATGCCACTTTGAATACAAAATAATACTGACATTCAAAATCGGTTTGCTTTCAATTTTTTGATTTTGATGAATTTTCTTCTTTTAAATTATACTACCAAAAACTTACAATGGAATTACGAATTGCGGTCTTCCCCTTAAGAATTTCAATCAAATGATTATGATATTATGTGTCAGTAAAATATGCAGCGAATTTTCTTAGAAATTAAAAAAAAATGTGTGTTTGTTGCAGGAATTTATAGATTAGTTTTTTTCATGTTTGAGCAACCGAGAAAAATCATGAACATGACGGTAAATTTAGTAAGGAGGTAGGTATCTATAAACGTTAAAAAAAAAAAAAAAAAAAAAAAAAAAAAAAAAAAAAAAAAAAAAAAAAAAAAAAAANAAAAAAAAAAAAAAAAAAACATGTATGGTTTTCATTATTCTTTTCACGGTAACCTGAAAATGAGTCGAATTCCTAGATTGGTTCATCGTTCCTCCGTTCAAGAATCCGTGAGAGTTGGACGCAAAGACAAATCAAGTGCATTTATAGCCTCTCAGTACTAATTAGTGGGGAAGGAAGAGGGAAAATAAAGGAGAGTTTGGTTGGTAATAGTTAAATCAAAAATTAACTATGACTTTATCTCTTTGCGCATTAATTGTTACGTTTAAATAATTCCATCACGTTAAACAATCTCAGCTAATTTTGAATGAGCTTCTTGAAGGGTTTTTTTATTGGAAAGGACGTTATTGTGTATTGTTGGGAGGCTTTCATATATTTTCAAAATGTTTTGCAAAAACCCGGATCTACACATTTATTTTTTCGAGATTTTGTGGTAAAAATACAAGTAATTCTGCGAGTCACTTGGAGAAATTTGAGTTTTTGCAAATGAAATATATTCGTTGATAAGAAGTTTTGGTTGGTAAGTACATATCGACGGTGAAAGTCGGCAATCACATAACTCGTTTGCGGTGTCTGAAAATCTCCGCCTCTACGTCATTTTTTTAAAGGAGAGCAAATTGACATTATTTCTTGAAGTTTTTGCAGAATTTTCTTCGCATCGAGAAGAAAAATCATGACAGTTTTAAAGAATTGCCGTTGAGTAGTTTTCCATTTAAAAAATAAAGTATGACAGGAAGTCTGCGACGTCGCAAACCGAGTTATGTGATTGCCGACTTACACCGTCGATATGTCAGTGTTTAAGAGGTTAGCAACTAACTAACTAACTATTTCACTTTTCAAGATTTATTTGTCTCCAAAAAGTGTCATCGAACATACGGTTTTCATTCTTTTGTTCGCAGTGAAAACAAAGCAGATGAGGAGCCTTGGCACTTCTCAACAAAGAATTTTTCAAAAACTTATGATCTTGGGGATCCGATTGCTCTCAATTACTGCGTTCTCGATTTTAATGTGACAATGCCATGGGATGATTTTACAGAGACTTAAAAAGACATTGTTGATAATAAGGATGCTTTAATGTACATGTGGTAAGCTGATCCCCTAAAAGTTCACTTTTAACCCACCATTTTACAGGGTCAATTTCTGAAACTTTTGCAGCTTTTGACGGTCGATAGCCCTAGAAGAGTTCGCAATATTTATATTTTTGAAATATGATACAGTTTTTTTCATATAACGTAATGCAGCTGTAAATTTTCCCATTAAACGATGTAAATGTTCATCCTTTTATAATACTTCGTACCATCTACGGGGCCACCAGGCCCCGTAGATCTACCAGGCTGATCTACCAGGCTGATTTTCATAATGTTTGCGGCTTTTGATAGGTAAAAGGCTAGTCCTTAAATGAGCCCGCTCTACTCAGATCATCTCACGAAGGCTCCCGGAGCAGCACATAGAGAGTGCGAAACGTTTCTCTGGGGCTGCGCCTAGGCAGTGGTCAGGGGGCGTTTGGAATAAGTCTGATTTTAATAACAAAAGAAAAAAATTGAGTTTGGACGGAAATTTCTGTTTTTTCAACTTTGATTGTTTGATTCAACCCGATATTTTTGGTTGTCAGCTTGGATTTCTCAGACATGCGCGTTGAAATAGAAGCTCAAAATGTGCAACTTTGAACTTGTCTTTATCCTGTCTTTATACTGTCGTTAAAAAAAAAAAAAAAAAAAATTGGAAAGTTCCTGTCACCCAATTATACACTCTCTGTTTTTCAAAAATGCAAAGATTAAAATATTTTACAAGATCGTTCTGAGAAGCACTGACTGAAAATCTGAATTTTCTAACAATCAACCTTAATTCTGCGTGCCCACACACAGGTAGACCAAAAAATTTCAGATGGAAGGTACCACCTTTATCACTCTAGGAAATATCAAATAAGCAAAGCAGTGTAAGTATTTTTTAGATTTTAATCAGTGATAATTCTACTTTGTTTGATAGTCCTTGCGTGTGCACACGCTGTATGTCAGAAGTAAATGACTAAGAAAGTATGTCAAGAATACAATGTGAGAAAGCGCTTTGTCTTAACGTCATATTTTCTGGTGAAATTAGTTAATATAGGTACGTTTTCTTCATGCGCGTGAGCGGTTTTAAATTTAGTTCCAATAATTGTTTTATTCTCTTCAACCATCCTTAATATGAACGTGTTCTGACTTACCCCAGAAATGATCAAGACTTTGATTATAGACAACTTCTCAATTCGGGTTAAATGACCCGTTGTTAAGTGCAGTGATTTTGATAGTTTTTGAAGTAATATTCATGCTGTTTCTATGTTTTTGAAGGCAAGGGTTTTTTTAAATTCTCACCCTTTTGGTCATATACGCCCCTCCATTATCCGCCATTTGTAACTTTGTAACTCTTCCAGAAGAGAATCTCACATCTTTAAAATTGAAGGCCCGAGGCATGAACTTGAAATGCTTAGCTCTACGCTACCAATGAGATGTTATTGAGATTGGGGGGAAAAAACAAGACACAAGGTCCAACTATGTCTCTTTTATCTTTATTGGGTTTCTCACGTGGCCCTTGAGCCACCATAACAAATCAGGCGAACGGAACCCACACAGCATAGGAATAGGGCGACTGAAAGGACGCGCGTTGATGACGGCGCAGAGATACAACTATTCGTGCTTGATGGATGTCCGTGTTGCGTCTGCAAAATTGAAGGCGCGATGGCGCGAGGCGTGAACTCGTAATATTCCGCTCTATATTTCCAATGATAAAAATATAAGGAGCCCCAACTATATCTCTCCTAACTCCGCCTGTGTTGACACTCGATTTTTTCCTTTTTGCATATTTAAATTTTGAAGACTTATCCTTTTTCACGATGTATTCGTGGACCTTCACCCAAAGCGCGTAAGCTTTATCTAAATAATGCAAATGGCTGGACACTTGACTCGTTTAGATGCAGAAAATGACATTGCCATCGTTCATTTAAAATTAATGTTGAAATTTAACTCTTACATATTTCCAACGATTTGATGAATATAATCTGGTTTGCATCACTCTGAATTTTAGCTTGAGTTTTGGATAGCTGATTGAAGATGAGAAAAAAAGGTTTGATGACTTTACCCTCACTTCTGAGTTCTCACCATCTTTACCTCATATTGGTTGTACTTCACCAAATTTGCTCCGTACTCTCCGACGCCGAAGATAATCTTACATTGTCCAAGCTAAAAGCCAATAGCATAGTGCCAAACGTGATACCCACAATGCCACAATTCGCACTATCGGTACGCTGTAATATACTTTTCAAATGGATCTAAGTATTGTGCGAAATTTAGAATGTATTTCTTTGATGAAATCTGAAGATTAGCAATTAATAAAATTCATCTAACGCCGAGTTTTTATGTCTGAATAATGAACAGAGATTTTGAAATTTGAGAAGTAGTTTGAACTTCATTCCTTTAGGTGTAGTGCACGTCATGATTCCTTCCAGATACCTTGCTCCATGATGCATAAGCAACAACCGGTGCAAGGAAAAAACTCACTCTCTTGAGAAGACTTATTACGTTAAGTGAAATAATTGTTGTAGTAACAGCGAAGGTTTCGTCTTAGAATGAAATGTCGTGATTCATGAAGGCCAGAAAAATGTCACTACAACAGTCTTTTTTTTATCAAGAATATGTTTTCCATGTAGTAATGAATAGTTTTCTAATTTATCGAACAGTAAAGACAGTATCCTCCACTGTGAGCAATGAGTTTTGCTCGTTGCAGGCAACCGTTCAAAAATTATTTTCAATATATGCAATTTCATCAGAAACCAATTAATTAGTCCGCATCTGAAGATACTGAAAAAGGAAAAAAATGAAAGGACACCCTGATGCTTCCTATCAAATTATTTTCTCAAATGATCCACAGGTTGAATACAAACACGCGACCATAAAGGCCGGAGACATGATTAATGGATCCAAAATTATCGATGAACCGGTGAGAGTAGTATGGCCAAGGAAAATTAACTCTTATTACACTCTTTTCATGATAGGTAATTTGATCCGATGCGCTCATCTGCTTTTTCTGTATTTTTATTAAATTTGTTACGAACAGAAACCGAGATGTCCCAGCTAATTTTGGGAATCGGAGATAGGGAGACGGATCAAATACATGAATCCTAGAATGACAAAGCAAGCCCAGGGAATTATTGCATTCACCGAAAAAAATAATATGCTGTTTTAGCATCTAGGATGTCAAAAATGTGTCTGGTGATCCCAAGATGCTGCCTTTACTGCCCTCGCAGTTGAATTTGCATTCACAGGATGTAAAATTAACTGCGGGGGCAGTAAAGGCAGCATCTTGGGATCTCCAGACACATTTTTGGCATCCTAGATGCTAAAACAGCATATTATTTTTTTCGGTGTTGAAGTGATCCGTCCCGTATTCTGGCGAGCTCGAACTGGTGTAGTATATCGGTACCGCATCAATTAAGTGAATAAGTAAAACAAGAAGACAAATCCAACGTGAATATGTTGAAAAAGCGCGCCGAATAACTGAAATGTTGGACACATACTATTTTTATATCATTGTTATTTGTATCACTTGGTACTTTTTGCTAAAGTCGAGAGAAAATATCGATTCATGAACGTTGGATGTAAATTAATTTTAAAGATTTTTTCCAATTATCTATCTGATTTTAAGATGATATGCGGCATTTGCGCATGACCGCAATTTGCGGCGAACTGCCGTGCATTAGCTTAAAATCATAATTTAGCTTAAAATCATAATTTTAGTGCGTTTTTATCATAATTTCGTGCTAGAACTAAATTTTCACGCTGAAAGATGAATTTTTTAACGGGAAAGGAATTTCGGTTTGGGTACTAGGGGTCATTAAGGAGGGATAAAAGGTGCCTAATGTTCCTACCCTTACAATGGACGGGTTGCCGGCCTTTCGTCGCTGAACAAAAGAAAAAAGCCGTGTGAAGGGTCTAAAAATTAATAATTAATAAATAGATAAATATAAGGAAAAACTGGAACAATGAGGGGAATTTAAATTGAAATTGTATATTCTTTTATTGTAGTTCTGAACGAAACAGATTTTGCGGTAATTAGGGCCACTGTCAGTTCATCTTGCAAAAGCACTGTGAATTGCTTTTGTTTTATTTTAAATTTAAAGGTCCAGATGCCCCAGTACGTGAACAGCCGATAGATAGGAATTGGCTTCACTGGCTAGTAACAAATTTACAGGGGACTGACGTAGAAGATGGCGACGAAATTGCAGAGTATTGTGGGTCTTTAGCCGGGTATGAAAAAGGTATGCCAGTTCATTACATATTTTTATAATATTTCAGGATTTTCTTAATCTGATGAGTATGTAAACAAGTGTATATAACTGGACATAAGATGAAATCAAACAAAGTAGGGAATTGCAAACCTGTCATATGTTTGCAGCATACCCTCAGAAATATAGAAAAAGTATATTTTTTGTAAGCGTTATAATTATTCATAACATTCATTGGGAAGAAATACATTTTAAAATCAGACATGCATAAAAGTCGCTTTTACAGGTTGTTTGGCACTCTGCGACACCTAATTGTCAAAGTCCCCTATCCTCCCACAGCCCTTAAGGCGTATTTTACAATCATGAAATCATTTTTATAGGTCCTCATTGGCTAGTTTACGTCGTATACGAAAATCCAAGCGGAAAAGAAATACAATTTGACGAGGAGCCTTTAGCCGAGGAGTAAGTTAATTGCCACCTAATATTAATATGTACTCGTAACAATATATGAAGAAAAAGACACTAAAAAGTGGCCCGAAACCTGTATGTAACAAGGTGGAAAAATGGTGCTGGGTCCACACCATTTCGTGGGGAAAACAAAGCCAAGAAGTTCCAAAAATTAAAATTAGAGTCAAAAATAATTTTTTGAACTCTAATGCACACCAGTACGAAACTGAGAAGGGAGAGTGTTCAGCTCAGGTAGTTTGCAATGGAATATTAAGTTGGAGTCACGTCGAGAGATCTACATATATACCGGTTTGGGCCTTTTTAGACCTCATCAGTAGATCACACTCGCCAGTGAACCCAATTTAACATGCCGCAAAATCCAAGACGGCATTAAAACACCGTCATGGATATGCCGTCTTGGATTTTGCGGCATGTTAAATTGGGTTCACTGCCGAGTGTGATCTACTGATGAGGTCTAAAAAAGCCCAAACCGGTATATATGTAGATCTCTCGACGTAACTCCAACTTAATATTCCATTGCAAACCACCTGAGCTGAACACTCTCCCTCCTCAGTTTCGTACTGGTGCGCATTAGAGTTCAAAAAATTATTTTTGACTCTAATTTTAATTTTTGGAACTTCTTGGCTTTGTTTTCCCCACGAAATGGTGTGGACCCAGCACCATTTCTCCATCTTCATAACAATATACTTATCTTTTCCTGCACGGACATGAAAGGGAGAAAAATATGCATGGTAGATATAACGATAACATTTTCATAACCAAACACGAATGCGAAATTGGTTGTTCTGGAAAGGACATACAATTATTCACAAACAAACTGGTATCTTCAATTGCTTTTTGATTTCTTTATTCGTCATAGGAACTTGCAGTTATTTGTCTACTCATATCATTCCTTGTCCTCTATCTATTTATGGGTGGATTTCAGCTAACGGGATAAAATATGAGAAAAACGTGTAGACTGGCCGCTTAAAATTTTGAATCATGATCTTTCCTTTCGATTTTTGGTTTTTGGGTAGCGGTAGGTCACACCAACCACGTGAACTCCACGTGGAGATTTGAATAACTCTGAGCCTTTTTTTCAACAGACTAAACGGTAAAAATGTCAGTCTGGTGACACTTAACTACTTGGTGGTGATATGTGAAACTGATCACCGATTCTTTTGCTTGAAAATTGTTTTAAAAAAAATTGAGGATAAATTCATTGAAGTGAATAAAATGCTAGAGTTTTAGTCAGGCAAGACCATGAACATTAGATTGACTTTCAGTCTATCTTCTGTTCATAGAAAAAGAAATATAATTCCTTTTGGTTATTAACGATTATACTGCGTGTTTATGTCTTTCAGTGATCCTTTTGAGAAACGCACGTCTTTTGATCTCTTGAATTTTACACGAAAATACGGTATGCATACTCCAGTAGCTGCAAATTTTGCTGAGGTAACTGTATACTAGCTTGTCTCAAATGAAAGATTGTATCTAGAATACATTGATGATTATATTCAATGAGCCGAGTATAGCAGGGAACCTTCTTTCAATCATATTACTGAAATGGACTTACCTGTTAATAAATGTATATTTCTTTTTAAGGTTTGATCTTAGCCATGTATCATGCAGAAGATCACGAGGAAATTAAATAGCTTTAACGCATGTGATCAAACAATCTAGTCACTTAAGTTAAGTACTTGAATATTTTGTAAACAAAAACATGTATGTATTTTTTAACTAAAGAAATATTTGTAGTTTTACGTATTCGTATTTTAAAATTTAATGTCAGAAAGGAAGGAAGGAAGGGCGGAAATTGGAATGTAAAGAGCATTATTAAAACCCGCTAGAAATCACGTTGTGAAGTCTCCCTGGGGATTTAAAATGTTTTTTTTTTTTTTTTTTTTTTTGCCAAGAAAAACTCGCAAAAGTTCAACTAAGGGACCCGCAATGCTCTTTTGAATGGTTTCCCGGCGAATGAATTGCGACAATTCCTAAAAATCGAATTGCCGTCAATTTAACCGCAACAAGTGGCGGTTTTGGAATCGAACATTGGAAAGCAAGGCGAGAATCAAGAACTATTAAAGTCATAATTATATTGGGTGTAGGTGTAATGTTTCAGATTGCGGGTCATTATGAAGGCTCTTAAATGTAATTTTAAGGGGTATTTAATCATGCTCATGTTAGTTCTCTTTTCTAATAATTTTCAACTATTTTTTTTCATATTATTTTGTTCATTATAGTAACAGGTACACCTGTGTTGAGAATTTAAGAAGCATTTGAAGGATAAGATGTACAACAACAAACAAATAAATTATATTTATTCAATACGAGTAATGTAGTGTATTTGATCAATCGGTTTAACAGCTATTAAGGTCTAAACGCTGTCAAATGTATGTAGAACAGCTCGATTTTGCTCGAATATGCTGCTGCATTCTGCGGGTCGTGGTAATGCGCAGGATAGGGCGTCCACGTTTTAGTGTAGTCTTCCTTTTTAATTGATGACTTCGATGTCGAATTCTGCTAATTTAAGGGTTATCCGTGGGATGGTGTGAGTCTCATTGTGTGTTTTTACGTGCTGTTTCCACGCTACGTACGGCCTGTTAGGACACGGTAGGTACGTGTTAAGTACGTGTTAGGTACGTGTGTCTGTCTACGTGTGTATAGGATTCTGTTTTTAACAATAACAAAAAGGAGATTGCAAGAGCCATATTCATATTGTCAACTTGTAAAACTTAAGATATTCCGTCCTCCTTTGCCAGCCTGTAGACACAGTCATCTAATTTACCTATTTGCTTAATTTCGCCGCAGATTGCGTGGTGTTTAACGGCATCAGTCATTCGTCTAGAGGCATCGACATCAGCAAAAGCAATCTGGACTGAAGCATGGTCTTTAGCGTGTAGGTTGTTGCCGCCACCGGCATTTAGAAAAAAATAAAACAAAAACAAAAACCAGCAAAAACAAAAACCAGCAAAAACAAAACCACTTAAAGCACGTCAATTAAAACTGGGAAAAAGGTTAGTTTAACACTACGAACTTAGAACTCCTTTTTTCCCGAAATCTTTCATTGGGTACCAAAGCTTTTCGGGGTTTTTTCAACTTCATAGGTTACAATTTATTTTACACTGGCAAGCTTGATAATCTAAAAATGCTCCTTTTATCACCGAAAACTTAAACTGATGCTTTGAAGATCATTTGCATTGGTCTGCCAATGCAAAAGATACCCAAGAGGCTCTCGACGCGAGAAAAGGTTAGTTGAGACATGGTGAACTGAACTTCATGTTCGGTCAATTTTAAAAATATTTGTCGTACCGGTGGTTTGAAATTATGGCACGTGGCCGTTTTCTCCAAAAATATCACGCAGTCCTATCAAAATTGATAGGAGCCACGGGGAGTGACGAATCAATGAAAACTTTTCATCTTTATCAGATAGGAAGCATACCTAGTGATGATTATTATCATCTTACTCAATTAATTTTAATCGGCTAAGTCTATCAGTTAATCAAATCGGAGTTTTATTCATCAAGTCTAGACAGTTCATGGACTGAAAATGAAATCCTTTTTTGGGGGAAAAAAACCCATGCGCATATTTTATCAATTACGACACGAGATGATTTTGTTGTTGATAGGCATAATTCTTTAAGAAAAAAGCCAATTGTTAACATACACTGATTGTCAGCCGTTGGAGTGATTATTTTGAAAGTAGGGTGCAAAAAGCTTTTAATTGTGAAAAAATAATTTGATATGGATTTGAACTTACTATTGTTTGTAAAAATAAAATGAAAATCTGTTTACTTCCTCTTGAGGTGGCTTAGAATAGTTCATTATTCAGTAAAAATGCGTGTTTATTCATACGTGAAACGCAAAACTATTAGATATGAATCAGTTTTGTAAATGAAGTTTCCTTACGTGAGAAGGTATAATAAAATAAATTAAAGGGATATTGTAGAAATATATATGCGTAAAATTTCTACCGCTCATATGTTGCGATAAATCCACTCTGCATAGTTTTACTGGTTCTCCTACTCCGATTTAAAGGTTAGTACTGACTTTTTTTACTTAGGTCGCAAAATTTTCAAAGTTGTACTATCCGTTTCGAACAAGTCAGTTCGAAACTGATGTACCTTTTTTGGGATGTATGGGACATCTTTGATAACCACGAACATTGGCCGCTTTTGCAAAAACTCGCATATGTTCAAGATCTAGTGCCTACAAGAATGCATGAATACTTCACGCATTCCGCGTTCACTACGGTGAGCGCTTTAATCGCTGAAAATTTGTAATTTCTCAGTGCCGAACCGACTGTAGGTACACACCTTTTCCGACTGGAGCACCCAGCAAGCATGCAATCCCAGGATCGAAGGATCTTAAAATTAAAGAACTTGCACCCCTCAATGATACCTTAGTCTATTAAGTTGAGTCATTGATATCAGAGCGCGTCCGTCTTTTTCTGATCGACTATCGTAATAACGAAAACCTGTCGAGGACGAGGATATCGGTCAGGTCCTTGAATTCTTGTTATAGAGTGATTACAGCATGTATGCCATTGGATACACATTATGCATAAAAAATGACATGATGGTTCCGGTCATGAGACTGAAAAAGGGTTCATTCAACATTGTATGTGAACCTTCGAATTAATGTTGGACGCTGACTATAAAAATCCATAATGTGCTCATATAAATTCTCGATTCTATAAATTTTCACCATGATATGAAATATTTTTTACAGTATAAAAAGACTCATAAAAATAAAAAAGACTCTAATTGATTGGTACATTGGTGGGCGTTCCCAGTTCTAAAAGTATGGCTGGATCGCAGCTTCAATAATATAATGGGTTATTTTTCACGAACGCTACGGGTCACCAATAGAGTCTTCTGTCAACCTAAAAACTTCATTTCATACTTTGTCCAATTTTCAATCATTTTTTGTCGGGAACTGAGATTGTATGATTATTTCAATGATATGGCGATACGCCTTTATCAAGTGCGTCTGATTATTCCAAGATAAGAGGATAAAGTTGATGGAAGTTTAGTATTGTGTTTACCACGTATAAAGACCTTTTTATTGTAGCTATGTGGAAATGTGTTGTTTTTTTATTAATCATCTACACTTTGTTTATTTAGAGATAAATACCTGATGTAGGCTATATTAATTCAGTTTCCATCGCCAGTATAAAAATGAGTAGCGCGGGAAGGAGAACGAAATCAATAAAAAAAATATACCATCGTCTGCAATTTGTGCTATATAATTAATCATCAATTCAACCCCGTTCTTTAAAATTGATTCGGCAAAGTGGACATGAATGACATTTATGTAGTCATTTTACTTTATTTATTTCATGATTTTCATACCTATCGTAGAAAGATTGTGTCATTTTTAAATACGATAAGTTTTCTCCTTTCATTGTGCCAACACGATTGAGAATTATCTTCATTCTGACAAGGGCCCTTCATCAATGTATTATTCTCGACCTCAGGGTCCAGATCTTAATATAGGTATAGAATATTCGGATATAGTTAGTCCAATTCATTGAAAAAGTAGTTCAATTCGTTTCAAATTGTGATTAACTTGCTCTGCGGTTTCAGGGACGGTGACAAAGGCCGGTTAAATTTCTTGCCAAGAGATATCCTCGAAAGTAACACAAGTTTCCAATTATAAAAACATGCCCTGCTCTTCAGTTTCCAGCTGGACGCACTGGTGCCAATCACGCAGTATTATTATTGTAAAATGTAGATTTAGAGCACTGTTATTTCTATGTATGGAATTAGTATGATGATTACCTAATAAAAAGAGTATATAGTAGGCTCCGATTTTCGTAAGCCACTGTAGGAATACAGAAGCATCCGTTATTTCATAAGTTTGTAAAAAGTTCCCTGTCTCTACATTTTAATAGTGATATGAAACCTAAAACTTATTAAACATCAATGTAAGTAAATATTTTTCTGAATTTTTCCCGAAATATAATAAACCCGAAAGAGGTAAGTTTTTTCGAACTTGATGTGCAAAAGATAGAGACGCCAGAGAGAGGGCAGTGGAAACAGAGGGCAGCGGGGGCGGGGTGGAGGGGTGAAAAAAATGGAGGAAGATAGGGGAGGACATATTATCTAGGGAGACCAGCGGCTGCAAATTCCTTTCAAGTTTACTCATACCAATAAAAACACATGAACAGTATATTTTTGTTCTTAATCCTCCAAAACGTCCAAAATCAAATACCTAATTCATTGAGTCATTATTTGTTTTATTTTATATCATGATTTTAAAATTACACCACTATTGTCCTTTACCCAAGAAAGTAGAAAATAACATGATGAAAGTGTTCACTTTATTTACACAATTGTTCACTTCTCTAGAATGAGTGGATTGGCAGTGTCGTTAGGTATACCAAAATTGATCCTATATGATTGATATATGATGATAATTCATCCTATCCAGGAGTAATTTAACTGAATAATAAAGGGTACTCAAATCTGATTTAATGCAAAACAATTTTGAAAATCTCGTCATGTAAATACAGAAGATTCGAAAACGCCTTCAATTGAGGTGTGATACCTCACGCATTCCGGAGAGTTCAAATTGTTGATCCCAGCACCTTACGAAAAAGATGGAAGATTAATATTGAAGCAGCTTTCCCGCTAGCCATTTCGGGTTATTCCTTTGCCGGTACTGCAGTTTTGACCGCATAGTGTAAGGGCGCTCACGCTGAGCTAGTATTTAGCAAATGGATAATTTGTATGGAAGAATTAAAAACAAGGAAGCTGTAGGAATTTCACCAAATAGAAGTTACTCAAATCAACAATAAAATTCAAAGAACTGCGATAAAAATTTGTATGTAAAGCTTAAATTTGAGCCAAAGCACGTCCGAGCAAATTTTGATCTCATAATTAACCGGAACAAAAGCAAGACACAGAAAATCAAATCAAGGGGATGCGCGCGTAACAATGGCAGTAGCTCGGAAGATCAGTCATTCCCTTTCTTCCACGCACCGAATGTTATGGGACGAGAAAATCTCGTTATGTAAGAACAGAAGATTCGAAAACGCCTTCAATTGAGGCGTGATACCTCACGCGTTCCGGAGAGTTCAAATAGTTGCATCCCTGCGCCTTAGCAAGGCGATGGAATCTCAATATTGAAGTAGCGTCGCCGCTTGGTTTCTCGGTTTTCCTGTGCCGCTACCGCTACGTCAGTTTTATTTTTACGTCAGGAGTAATTAAACTAAATATTAAAAGGAACTCAAATCAACAATATAATGCAAAACAATTTGGTAACAAAATATGTTCAAAAAGCTGAAATTAGAACCAAATTATGTCCGAGTAAATTTCGAGTTCACAATCAATTTTTTAGTTGATTGTGAAATCGACGGACATTCGAGAAAGTAATATACAAAAATGTAAAACATGGGGATGCGCGCGTAACCGTGGAAGTAGCTCGGAAGATCAGTCATTCCCTTTCTTCCATGCTCCGAACGTTATGGGACCAGAAAATCCCATTGTGCAAAGATAGTAAATTATAAAACGCCTTCAATTGAGGCGTGATACCTTATGCGTTCCGGAGAGTTCAAATAGTTGTATCCCTGCGCCTTAGCAAGGCGATGGAAGCTTAATATTGAAGGAGTAGTCCAGGCACCTGGTAGCTAAAAATGAGGCTACCTGGAATTTCGGGTACACAGCGATTTTTTTGGCTTACTTTATGTTTTTTGGGTCGCTGAATCCGAATCTGAACTTTCCTATCTGGTGAGCATTTTCCGCCATTTTGAAAAAATCTCCTAAAAAGGCCTTTTTTTGCGGTTTTTTGATATAGCGGCTACGCATGAGAAATGTCCCGGATTTAGTTAATGTTTTGAATAGCTGACATAATTTGGAAGAAAATGGTGTATACATAAGCTAGGTTTGCTTAAAAATTGAGGAAGATACAGCATCGTGAACGCGTGATCCGGCACGCCGCGGTCAGCCAAGTTCCGAAGCGTTCCAAAGTTTCGAGATCCGAGGTTCCTCAATTTTTGAGCAAACCGAGCATGTTCATACACCATTTTCTTCCAAATTATGTCAGCTATTCAAAACATTAACTAAATCCGGGACTTTTTCTCATGCGTAGCCGCTATATAAAAAAAAAAAAAACGCAAAAAAAGGCCTTTTTAGGCAATTTCTTCAATAAGGCGGAAAAGTCTCACCAGATACGCGGTAGAAAACTTCAGATTCGGATTCAGCGACTCAAATAACATAAAGTAAGCAAAAAAATCGCTAAGTATCCAAAATTCCAGGTAGACTTACCAGGCGCCGGGACTAAACGCAAAAAATCAAAGGAAGGAAAAAATAAGAAATGTAAATTGGAATTAATATCATTCATCTCATAATTTTACAAGCAATTAAATTATGTAACGGAGCAAAAATCGGGGCAAAATTACAAAAAATTGGTCTCTTGTATGGGGCTTCCATGTAAAAATTTTGACGTGAAGACAAGAGTCGAATAGCAGCCCTACTCCATAGAATACACGGTGTACTTGAACAAGTTTAAATTGTTTTATCTGCTACAATCGAAAAATCTTTAGACTCTTGAACGACAGTGTCTCTTGAGTCATTTAAGCTAAAATAAAAATTCTGTCGAGATCCTGGATAAAAATGGCGATTTTAAAGTATTTTGGTTTTTTAGCATATAATGAGTATGTCGATCAGAAGAAAGACTAAACAAATGGCTGGTCGACAAAGTCATTGCTGTTAACACATTCGTTCTCCCCAGTTCTTAATCAGTACGCAGACAGATTATCATATCGGCCCTGAAACCCTCGCTGACCTACTTTTAGAGATGGAGTACTGTTCTCAAAGATCGCAGTCGACATTTTAAATCTAAAATTTATCGAAACAAATTTTCTTCTGGTGTTCGATCTATGTTCCACTTTTTAAATCCATAGTTCCCGCTTGGGTTTGACTTTTTCAAAATGGATCTTTTTAGTTTTAATTCACGTCCACGCATTCTAAGGCATAAAGGATCAAAAATAATAAGCATTAGGTGACATATTATTTTCCATGAGGGGAAAATAAATCTTACAAATACACGAGTTTTTTTCGGTACACCATAAATTGGCCGTCTTTTCACCTTAATTCAGGCATGCCCCCGTCATAACTAATTTTTCACCGTTTACTTAATATTCATAATTTTTTGGGACAATTCGTTTAAAGGACCATGTTATGGCCTCAATCTACGTCAGCCTCGAAATCATCGAAGAAGTCTTTTGTCGTGAGCCACGCTTCGTCACCAGGCAAAGGCGTGACAGTCATTTCCCAGTTGGCGGTGAAAAAGTTGATGGCAACCGGTCCTGACAAGGAATGATTCTTCGCAAACTGTTCACTGTTGAATTCGCCTCTCAGCGCGTCTATTGGTCTGTGACAGAAGATCAATCAATGAAAAATTTTGCAATCAAATACATCGCTGACGGAATACAGCTAAATTAAGCGCATACGCGAACATACGCTCATTTGAATCAAGAATAATTTTGGTTGTGGCAAATTCTTAATTCAGGATAACATTTTTAGGACGGCAGAACAATTTTTGATACAACAAAAATTATTTTGGCATAAAGACGAGAGGCCGGTTGTTTTTAAGTAATCTTTCAATGAGTATTTGCGTACACGGAAAAAAACGAGTTTTGGGCTACCTGCGCCTGAAGGTCCCAGCCCTAACCGGGTAGGTGAAGTTGCTTTACCTCATACCCCATAGGGATCCTACCTGGACCCTGTCGAGGTAGGGATGGGCCCTACCCGCGCAGGGCCTGCTCCTGTGGGGTATGAGGTGAAGCAATTCTAGGGCCCAGTCCTAACCTCATTTTTTCCGTGTATGAGTGTTGAGTGTTACTATTGAGTATTATGTACGGGTTTTGCGAAATTTGTCATAATTTGGTATCTTAAAGTGTTGTTGCACATATTTTACTCATTTTTGAAGGACAATTTAAAACGAGCTCCAATGAGTAGAAGATATACGCGCTACAGAGGGAATGATTTATGATCTGATGAAAGTCCAGGAAATATTCATAGTTCCTTACCTGTCATCTCTATGTTCCCAATTGAATTTCATTCGACCTTTATCTTGCTTGTAAACCAGGAATACATATCTATGCGTACCTGCACAAACAAAAGAAAAAAAAGAACATAATACATTTCCTTGCAAGATTGAACGGTTAAATTATTTTTTCTCCATTGTATCTCACAATTGGTAACAAAATGGGAACTTCAATGACTCTCATCTAGTCTGCTATATATTTTAATTTTCAGAAATTTCCCATTTGCTTCTCGTTGAGTTGCTGCTTTTTTCAAAATTGCCAAATGAAAGGCATGCACTAATTATTATTTTTTGTCAAAACATCAAGAGCAATTATTGCATTAATACCATAACACCTTGGAGTTTGAAACAATATGGCGAATGTACCATACGTTATACATATCGACGGTGAAAGTCGGCAATCACATAACTCGTTTGCGGTGTCTGAAAATCTCCGCCTCTACGTCATTTTTTTAAAGGAGAACAAATTGACATTATTTCTTGAAGTTTTTGCAGAATTTTCTTCGCATTGACAAGAAAAATCATGACAGTTTTAAAGAATTGCATGCCGTTGAGTAGTTTTCCATTTAAAAAATAAAGTATGACAGGAAGTTTGCGACGTCGCAAACCGAGTTATGTCATTGCCGACTTTCACCGTCGATATGTATGTCATTCAATTTATACATTTCTTTTTCCGAGATAACCATACAAATGAAGGAATAAGACATAATCGTTAGATAATTCAGACTTGCATTTTCGAAATGAATCGTAAGGAACATAAATTTCTTTGACATCGTACTAAATTTTATTCCGAACCTGCATAAGTGATGGGCAGAGGAGTTATGTATTCAGAGAGTGTGACACCACCTCGTACATGACAACCGGGGATGTTGCCCACGATCCAATGATGAAATTCCCGTTGATAAGGATCGTCAGGTGTTGGTGAGTCGGGGTCTGAAATTTAAGCAGTCAATGCTTGTAGAATACATATCTGCCAGATAAAAGAAATGGTGAAACTGAAAAGAGATGGATTGGAACGAACGCGTTGCTTAAAAAAGGAGAATTAAGGTAAGAAAATTGAAGGAAGAATGAAAATTGAGGGGCTTGGAGGGCAAGGCACATAAGTGCAGTTTTTGCTATTTCGAGATATACGTGTTTCAAATATCGAAACTACATGGATTCTAATGGCGGAAAGGAAGTTCAAACTACTTTGTTAATGCTTAAAAGTTAACATTTGGGAGCGAATGTTTCACAGAATATGCATTCAGATTAGTTTTACGGGAAATGATGAATATCTCAAATTTTTCAAAAACTGCACTTATGCGCCTTGTCCTCCAAGCCCCTCAATTATAAGAGGAAATATGCTAAGCAAGTAATTCCTTTGTGGCTATTTAAGAAGAAAAGACGTTAACGAAGATTGTTGAATTAATCGCACTTTCGGCTCAATGCAAACCAGAGAAAATAGGGAAATGGACTGCCTATCAAGTCTTCTAAACTATGAAACAAAAGTATCATTTCAGTTATACAAGGATACACTGAAAAAAAAGTGGAAGTGGGATTGACCATAATGGTATAGTAAAAAAAAATATGGTGATAAAAAGCCAAATAATGGTCGATTTAAGCATCTAGATGAAAGTGAGAATCATACTCGATATAAAAATTACCATGCCCGGATTGTAAATATCAGTTAGGTGTGTCTGTCTATCGTTTAGGTATTTCTCACCATCAGCTGGGTATTTTTTACCATACGATGAGTTAAAAGTATGGAATAACATGGTAACACTTGCGTTTGATATCTGTAGGCATGTGTATGCGACTGGTCATGGTGTTGGTAGGTTAAATTTACCATACTGGTATAGTCAGCGTGGTGAGAGCTCCCGCTTGACTGCGCTGCGGTCTGTGGTCCGCCATTTTTCGTTTGTCTGTTTGTCAGTTATAAATTTATCACGTTGAGGGTCGGAGTTCGTGGCTGTGTTTTATTGATCCATATTAATCCATGTGAATCCGCACGCGTAATTTGCCCAAATTTGTGTTCGAATTGTCCCCAAAGCTACCGCCTTCTCTTCGAATCTATCTATATTGATCTGCCACATACATTTTCTGAGATTTTTTCGTTATTCGTATCGACCAATTTCTGAAGGTTAGGAGTTGCTACACTGAATCTGGCTTGCAAAGTGAAGGAATCCTGAAAATTTGAAAACCTTCGCAAAGTTGTTCTGCAATCCAGTGAATATCGGTTCTGTGTAAAGTCATTTCGAAAACATAAAAGTGCGGAAGTAATTTGAAAATAATCGACTAGAAGTGATTTTTGAATACTTCGTTCGTAGGTATATCTACATTCTTGTTAAAATTTTCGAAGCTCAACATACTCAGATGAAGAGACAAATGTGCGTGGGATTGATGTTTAACTGTAACTTTAAGCAAAATTTGGCAGCTTCTGCCCCACCGTGAACCGTGCGATTGGATTTTCATGTAGTGTCTTTTTGTGGGTATATTTTGAACTATCTATTTATTATATGCAATTAAATTTTCCGTGGATCTGATTTAGTCTGTAAATGATACCTTAACGCGAATAACAAGTATGGTTTTGGTATCATTTACTTGAAATCAGTGAAGCAATTATCTGCTATTTCTCGTTGAAACTGTCTTTAACTGCCATTGATTGTATATGTAACGGAATTTCTAAAAGTAAGATGTAAGTAAAATATCCACGACTTTCATCAAAAGCATTTAATAATATAAGATGAGTGGATTTTAGAATCTACAAGGTTTGTTGCAGCATCTGGATGCTTGAAATTACCATACTAGTCAGTCGGGAACGCCACACTGGCACTGTGTCGCATAGTGTCAGCCGTATCGTGTTATTTACCATACCGGTATATTGGTAACTATGCTGCAGCTTCACTGTGTAAAAAATCAAGTAGACAGTATGGTAAATAACACCCAAACTCTGGTAAATCCCACCGATTATTTTATTCAGTGTACTCTATTTAAACGGAGGAATCTGCTTTCCTCCGTTTTTCCCGTTTTGTCTATTAAGCACAAAATATAGATTCAAAATGTAAGTTTTGGTTTTCTTCTCGTGTTTACCTGTCAAAATAAGGGTGTAAAATGAATCCTTTTCACAAGGCCACTCAACTTCCACCGGTGGATGCTCCAACTGCAAGCACGAGTACAAAGTGCCCATGTGTAGTGTGTACTGTTCTTTGCTTGTCGTACGTGACCTGTTAAGCCAAGCATTTACAATAATCTAAAAATTGGAAAAACGAAGAGCTTTCAATCATACACTTAACAATATTTCACAAATATATGAATTGTTTAATTTTTATACCATTGCAATGAAAATTGATAATTCCAAGTTACTATGAACTTGATTTGATTAAGACCAGTCAGATGCGTAACAATTTCGTGCACACTATCTGTCAATGGACGTTTCACGCGATTTCCGTGAATAGTAATTTGGCTCTTTTCGCTCATAAAAGAAGCAAAAATCGCACTATTCCACAATGCTACCATCGCTGCCACATACAAAGGATATGCTCAGTTAGTGAGTAAGACGGAGTGGTAAGTACAAGTTCCTTAATGAAGCAAAGGACCACTTTGAATGGAGGTTGAGTGGGAAATTACCATTTTAAGCATATTTATATTGAAATTCGTATTTGTATTTGCGGGTGCGTGACGTTAAAACTATGCACGCGTATACACCTCTCCTCTAGAGGAGCGTCTAGTGACTTCAGTATCACACTCTAGGCTGAGGATTGGTTTAAAAAGTCAAAATTTATAGTCAGTATCTGACTAGTCAAATAACTAGCGACAACACTTTTTTTCTTGGACATTGAAATGGTGTGCTCCGGCTCTCTTAAGGACAACGCCTGCACGCAACTATTCGTGCTCGAGGGATGTCTGTGTTGCATATACACACAATTGCAGGCGCTCCTAATTGCAAATCTCGGCTGCAGCTACATTTGGGCTTGCCTAGTTAGCTTTCAAGCCACCGAGCATCACAGCAGCGTTGCCAAATATATGGATTAAAAGAGACGGCATTGGCAATGAAATGCGGAGTTTATATCCACAATGATGGTGCGTGAAAGATTCCGGTAGAAAATTTTGAGGAAATCCCATGCACTAGCCCGCGATATTTCAACAGAAATTACTTCTCTTGATAATTTCTGAACGAGTGTTGATTGAATAGCCATAACCTCCCCCCCTCCTCCACCCATTACCAATACCAAAACCACCACCACCACCAGAACACATCAGAGACTTAAGCGTATATATGAAAGTCAAACACACCGTTTTTACTTAAAAAGTAGTAGTGATTGACGTGAGTATGAACCTATGTCACAGAACACTGGAAAAAAACACATTGGATCTATAGTCCAGACTCTTGAAAACATTGACAAGAAAAAATACTCTTGATTCAATCAGATTTTTGCTTAAATCAAAAGAAAATCCGCTCAAATTAAGAGGCTTGATTCTTGATTTAAGCAAAAATCCGATTGAATCAAGGGTATTTTTTCTTGCCGATGTTTTTCAGAGTCTGGACTCTAGATCCAATGTGTTTGGCTTTCCAGTGAAGGTATTCGCCCTGTTTATCTTTGGCGACAAAACGAAGGCGAAAAGTTGAACTGAAGCTCGCCAGATCTTGGAGGGATAAATGGAATTTGTGAATATAAAAAAAAACGCTACTTAATTTGTACGCATTAGATATTTTAAGTTAACTCTTCCTTAAAACTGAAACACTAAGGGTGTAGAGAAAACTAAATACAAGAGGAAGAGAGGTTAGGGATGGTAGCCCGAAACGTATAGGACAAAAACACAGAAAATAAGTGGGAAACAAGGCTAAAATCAATTAACACAATATTCAGGACGTTTCGGCTTGTCACCCGAGCCTTTATCAACCGCTGAAACACAAATAAAAAATTAAAACCAAGGCTAAAACAAACCACTACATTAAAACGCGGGTGATCAGCCCATACGGAAATTAGGACTGATCTACAGATCAGTATAGATCAGTCCTGATTTCCGTATGAGCTGATCAGACGCGTATAGATCAGTCCTAATTTCCGTATGGGCTGATCACCCGCGTTTGAATGAAGTGGTTTTTTTAGCCTTGGTTTTAATTTTTTATTTGTGTTTTAGCGGTTGATAAAGGCTCGGGTGACCAGCCGAAACGTCTTGCATATTGTGTCTATTGATTTTAGCCTTGTTTCCCACTGATTTTTTGTGTTTTTGTCGAAAACAAAATATTGTGTAGAGGACTTTTAATTACCTGAACTAAATTCTTGGGAGATTTGAGAAGAACGTCAGGAATGATTTTTGATTCTCTCAACTTCTTCTCGATTTCTTTTGGAGTCCAATCCGGCCCGAAAACCGGTCCAATTGTACGAGGAGGTTTTCGAGGAAATTTACTCTCGGACCATGTTGTGCCACCATCATAATCAAAGATTGCAGTTCCTTCGGTAGTTCTGTTGGCAACGGTGCTTATATTCGAAGGATGTCGATCGGCTGTAGTTGTATTTGTGTTTTGGTGAATGGTGCCCTTCGGTGGCCGACCTCGGCGCATTTCAGCGACCGTTGACGTTGAAATCGAAGTTGTTGTTATTTTTGTAAACAAGCATACATTGACAATGATGAGATAAACTTTAAAGGCGGCTCTTGATCGCATTTTGTATCTCCTTTTTCGGGCTTATTCCTGCAGGATGCTTTCGCCTACTTATGACACAATTATTTTAGACTTCAGTCTTCATTTTTCCTATTTTTTATCCAGTGTCCCAAATCAAGCTTTCCTCTTTAGAAATGAACCAAATGCACTCACTACTAACGGTATGAAGTGTGAGCATGCGTATATGGGCCGTTGTTCTCTTATACCTCCAATTGGTGAAGAATGCTTATTTCATAAGAAATATCAAAAGATTTCATTGCCTTTAAACTAGCAAAACAAAATCAAGGTAATTAGAAGAGAGTCGTCTAACATACAATTCACCATACATAAATACAATCTACCATGCTACTCGTAGATTATGGTCATATTACGCAGCATACGTTGAACGTAAATTTGTATACTGTTGAGATATAATTACTTACAACACAACAGAAGGGCTCCTCAAAAATTCTGAAATCGGCATAATTCACGAAGTCCTTGGAGGCTTAACCTACACAGACGATCATTTTCATGGGTTACAATATATGTGACCCTAGCGAACTTGACTATCTAAATGGGCGTATTTCTGCCAAACGGAACTACGCGGACTAAGAAATGAGCCCTGAGACCCATAAGAGTATTATGCATAACAGAGCTCAAGTCATAATTCTCGTAGTTCCGTTTGGCAGAAATACGTCCAAGTTATGCATACGTAATAATGATTATTATCATCTCGCTCGATCAATTATCGGCTTTGAAAACGTCTATCAGTTAACCAAATCACATTTTCACTTGTCAAGTCCAGACAGCTCATAGACTGAAAATGAAATTTATTTTTAAAAAAGAAAAATACGTGCGCATATTTCATCAATTACGACACGAGGATATTTTTTATTGATAGGCATAATTGTTTAAAAAAAGCCAATTGTTATTATACACTGACTGTCCGCTGTTGAAGTGAATAATTTGCGAATTGGGTGCGAAAAGTTTTCGTTTGTATCATAATAAGTCATTCGATATATTTTTTAACTTACTCTTGTTTGTAAAAATATAATAAAAATCTGTTTACATCCTCTCGAGGTGGCTTAGGATAGTTCATTACTCAGTAAAAATGCGTGTATATTCATACTTGAAACAAAAAAACAAGCAGGAAGCTCCAACGCATTCGCGTCGGAGAGCGGCTCTGGCGACAGTAGTTGTAGTCAAGAATGAGGGCCTAGACACATTTTGTCACTGATGTACAATCCGACAACTGTCGATTCATGTTTTGTAACTTAGCAGATTTACGTAGCCGGTGTATAAATGTGTATTGGCCCTTGATATGCAGAATGCATGGCACTATCACTTGTTGTATACTTTTAATTTTGAAGGCTCTTTGGAGGTCCGCATCCTAAAAAATTTCTCCCACAGTATTTTTTTTAACTTGTCGTTGTGATTGGGCGCCAATTTCTTTCAATTGAGTGATCATCTTCTTTTTTTGTCAAATAACTAGTTTGTGCAACAATAAGACTGAAACTGACTGTAACTGAAATTTTGTCTTTTTAGATATTTGGTTATTTTGTATTTATTAGATTGTATATTTTCACAGCCCTGTGATAAGAAACTTTGGAATGCATGGTTGATAAGTCGTTTAGCGAGGCTGCAAAAAATTTGCATTTTTATATCTGAAATTGTAGGTAATGGTTTTGAATATCGAATTGCGATATATTACACGGTTAAGATAGGGCTATATGTCTTGTCGTAAGCGGCGACATAGAGTCGATGTCATTTCAATAATCGCCCCGATGGCCACGGTAGTTGTGTGCCGTCTGCCCACGTAGCAAATGGGAGGCGAAAATGGAAGTCATCAGTGCATCGGTGAGTGTTGAACGTGAAAATTGCGCGGGCCGCGCAAATTTCGCGATCATCGATGTGTCGGGGCTGAGCATCCATCATTTTCTATCTTGTTTTGAAGCTATGTGAGTTGTGATAAAGTACATAATTTTTTTGTATTATATTACTGTATAAATAGTGTAAAATTTGTACAGAACTTTGTACAAAATAGTTTCTTGTAAAAAGTGTGGACTACTGCCACGTCGTTTCCATACAAACTCCCAATACGCCGCAAGTACCACAAATGCCCATGTTAACCAAATCACCTCATCATCCATTTTTTAAGGACACAATTTTTAATTCAAATCAACTTACTTTATCAAAACTCCAATCGTTTATCAAATAACATATATCGAGTCATTTTAACAAAATCAAAGACGGCATAATATCATTTATCACACAGCCAAAAACCTAACCTAGAAACCACGATGTTTACAAACTCAAATTGGAGAACACTCATTGGTCCAATAATAAAAATTGATTTGCCGCCTTTTTTCTTTGCAAGCAAAACGTGTGAACATGTCTGAAAATGGGATCGGGCGTCAACACTCAACGATGCACTGATGACTTCCATTTTCGCCTCCCATTTGCTACGTGGGCAGACGGCATTAGACGTTTACGGTTTCCTTGGTAACCTTTGTTTGCTATCAGCTGATATCGAGTAATATGACTAGGAAGCTCCAACCCAGTGGTTGGAGCTTCCTTAACCGCGAAAACTTTAAAATTCAAATTTTCAAATTTTGAACGTAAAGTACATTTTTTCCATCACGAGATTAAAGCACAGACAAGTTTTGAATTATTGACTGTATCACCATGATTCCAAAAATACACTACACAACATAGCATTGGCTAACAATAAAACAATATGCAATAAAATAAAGTCATGACAAGGAACATAGCCGAAAATGGCGCCGATTCCCATTAACCAACGCGCGGTCTCTCCAATGTAACATGGTCCAATGATACTCCCCAGCTGGGACCGTCCGGAATAGCAGCTCTAGTGCAAGCACCAGAGCCGCTAATAATTAGATATGAATCAGTTTTGTAAATGAAGTTTCCTTACGTGAGTATTATAAAATAAATTAAAATAATATTTTAGAAATATATATGCGTAAGATTTCTACCGCTCATATGTTGCTATGAATCCACCCTGCAGGGTTTTACTGGTTCTTCCACTCCGATTTAAACGTTAGTACTGACTTTTTTTACTTAGGTCGCAAAATTTTCAAAGTTGCATATCCGTTTTTTTCCATGATCAAAAAAAGTAAAATTCGTTATTGGTTGCATCTGCCCTTATATCCAAAAGTGCAACCACCGAATTTTATCCCTTTGCTGGTAAAATGCTGGTAGTGCTTTAAAAAATCGCCAGCCTTTGGACGTTGCCAAATTTCATTCGATCAATTCGAAATTTCAGGGAAACTTTTGAATATTTTTCCCTAAATTTTTATATAATCTTTTCCGCAATTTTATCTAAAATATCTAAAATTTATACTAGCAGAAATATTCGCATTTTTGGTGAAAATTAAATATCCTATCTGGTTACATTAGGTAACTTCCAAAATTGCATGTGGCGTTCCTTTGCATGGCAGAATGCGGAAATGTGGCAGTCTGCTAGCTTGACTGTTGACCATCATTTGAAGAATGAAATGAGTCAGTTAAGTCATTTTTTTTATTTTGTCATTCGAAAGTAGTAAGTGACTGAAGATTACAGTTTTTTCCCTAATTTTTTTTGATGACTGCAAACGGGAGAAAAGTTTATTTGAAAGTGCCCAAAATTATAGGGTGGCCTAAAACGGCGTTTGAACCGGGCGCTCGTAGGTTCCGAATGTACACGTCACGACCAATATGGCGAGGCAATGCGTAGTGGAAGAACACACGGCGGCGTCGCGTTGGCGGTGTGTTTTTGTTGGTCAATGGGAGGTTATGTAGGTTACTTTATTTGAGATTCATACCCATTGTTCTTAATTTATCTAAGATTTTCAATCAGAATGCGATACAGATTTATGTAGGATATGAAACATTTACACAGAACTTACTTAATCTCAAACGAGAACTCGTGATGTCAACAACGGCGGCGTTGCGGTAGTAAGCAAGTTGGCTTCATCGCCGCGCCGCCATCTTCCCGTCTATGACGCGTAGATTCGAGGATTCACGGCGGTCGGTTCAAACATTTTTTCGAGGACCCCTAAAAAGGAAGCGTTATATCTCCGTGGAGACAATTTTTCGTGAAATTTTAACTTGCGCATCGTTCGTCTCGCACCGAAAACCGTGAGATTCGACTATTTGCAGGCAAATCCCTCCCGAGCTTAACTGACTCATTCCGGCGATGTAGAGTTGACGAAAAAACATTATTCGCACATTTTGTCCGGTATCCTATTTATTGGAATTTTGTCCAACCGAAACATTTGAAATATATCGTTGTTTTCGAGACGAAAGAGCTTAATTCGTGTCGCACAAGTCAACGATTAAAAGTTTTTTTCTAAAAGAATAGACGGAAAAAGAAAATTCAAGTCTCTTGCACTATTCTTCTAATTTGGGTTGCGCTTCGACACCTTTGGCGTCATCCTCAGATGTCAGGCTGTTGTGGTTCCAGTCGCGGTTGAGGGTGACGGCACAGGTGTTGAAACGCCTCCAGAGTTTGAAAAATGATTATGTAGCATCGTGTCCATGATATTGGACTCCATGCTCACCCTCGATATATTTGCCTGCTCATCTCGTCCAAGATTTTGGACTCCATGCTCATCGCTAAACTTCTCACTTCTTTGCTTGAGCATGGAGTCCAATAGCAAGGAGACCTTTTTTAGTTTTATAGTTCATCATGATCGAAAATCGTATACCTCTCTTATCTAATCTAACTTGAACCCAACCTAACCTAACCTAACCTAACCTACCTAACCTAACCAATACACAATTTTTTACGAAAACACTTTTTTACGTCTTTATTTCACAAAAATTGTCTGAATAAATTTTTGGACCATATGGTTTGGAGCCCTTTCACCCAAACCTTTTCCCCCAAAAGTCAAAAGATCCAAAGCCAGTTTCCACATTGCCCCTTCATCCAAATTCACCGAGAAAATTGTTCCCAAAGAATTTTCACCCAGCATTTTCATCCAAATTTCACCCATGAATGAAAATCCGTATTTATTAGATTATTTGAATTATTAGGCAATGTAGGTGACTCACGATGATTAGGCAATGTTGTGGCCTATTGCTCTCAAGTAATCCAGCTCTGTACGTTCTGTTTTGTGCTCTTCATAACGGGAGACAATCGTTCTCAGCCTGATGTTAAGTCGCTCGTACTTTGCCTCCCTTGGTTTTCTCACCTTCCGTCCAGCTTGAATTTCTATTATCTGTTTCTCCGTGTCCACCTGCTCTTTCAAGAACTGCCGAAGTAAATAATAAATGGATGGATGGTTTTTTCCTATTAAACTTTGGAATCTATTATGCCAACCTTCTGTTGCGTTATTCGTACGTGGCTCGTCATGTAAAACTGATTGATAATGGTTCCACAGAACTGGACTGTACCTCGGAGGTTGCACCCTGTATCGGCGCCGAACGAGCTCTCTTGATCCATTGACGTAAGTTCTGTCAAAATATTTTGCCAATTCTTCCATGCTCTGTGGTAATGTTGGCTTCAACATATTGAACACTCGCGAAACATCTTCTGCAGGAACAAACGCCAGCGCCAACAATTGAGAAAACCCATTTTTGACTTCCCTATTTTCCGGGTCATTGTAGGCGACTTGTAACCCAATACTCTGCAAATGTCTCCATACACTTTGTGATAGATGGAAAAAACAAAGTAAGATGGTGGATTGTGGGTAAACTTGTTTGACGGAGTTGATGATTGCCAATTCGAAGTCAGACATAATAGATCGTGGACGAGGAGCTGCGAAACCCAATTCAACACGTTTATCCGCGACTGCTCTCAGAACTGCTCCGCGGTAAGACTCTGTTGTTTTATTTGGCAGCAATGCATACACGAGAGGAAACACTGCACCATGGACCGTTCCATGGATTGTGAAAATTTGCGTGAAAATGTGTGGGCAAGTTTTAAAAGTCCCGTCCAAGAAAATAATCATTGACCGGCTCAACAAAGACAGATTTTGTGTGGTTCCGAACACAATTATTCTATTAGGATTCTGATAAATTTCTTCTTCGTCTGAACTGTCTTCTTCGTCTTCTGCATCAAATGAGTCGAAAATGATGAAATTGACACGGTTTTTTGTGCTTCTAAATTGCGGAAGGATTCCTCTTAAGGCTGTGATGTCGGTGGGATTCGTAGAAAAGTTGGCGATCCTCTTCTTGTTTAAAGTTCTTTTCATGGTCTCTCTCTCTCTGGTAGTAGAGGAAGGACAAGTGAGTCAACCTCACCTAATTTCTCCCTGATCAACAGGCTAGGTTTTGCTTCCGGATGAACTGCTGCTTCTTCCCTCAACTCGGCGTAAATCCTCTTTGCTACAACTTCATCTTGGTTAGGGGGATGATCGTGTTTTCCTACTCCGGTTTTTTGTTACACACCCAGTACGTTCGTGTTCGATTAGAATTTGAGGAATGTTTGTGATATAGATAACCTTCAAAGGATAGTATCTTCTTGTTTTTATTGCTATTAATTAATTCTGCCTTTTTGAAAGGAAGAAAAAAATGAAGAAAGATGCACAACACTGATAAATTTAAGGATAGTATAAAACAAAGAAAAAGAAAACTGACACTGGGTAATGGGCCTGTTGCAAACTTTTGCTAGAGCACAACTAAGAGTTGTTTCTTACAGATAATGCCTCAAAAATCACGATGAGCGCATCGGCAAAGTCTGAAATGCACTCATAATTTCACAATCTACGTAAAAAATTTGCGGTTTTTTGAGCTTCCCGCTTCGAAAACGATACTATGGTACAGGTGAAAATCTTGTTAGAGGAGTCGTTCCATTGGCGGCAATACTCATCATGGCCGACGCCAGTCCGCCAAAACACGTGTGATGGGACGAGATAACACCTGAACAGGATTAAACCA